AGAAGAAGAAGAAGAAGAAGAAGAAGAAGAAGAAGAAGAAGAAGAAGAAGAAGAAGAAGAAGAAGAAGAAGAAGAAGCCGTAGTCTTTTTCAGTCTATGTTCAAATTACGAAGAGTTCTTACCAGTTATCATACTTCAAGGAGAATGCAATTCACATCATAAACTCCTGCCAATTACTAAAGTTTTCAAGGTAAGCTTTCACAGCTTGAACTAAAATACAGGGACTTGAAGCTGTCACAAACCATTGTTCCTCCATCATGTTGCACTGCTTAAATATAATCAGTCCTCAGTCTCCAACTGAATGTAGCTAACATCAGACAGCCCTGTTCTCCAAAGCCAGGATACTTAAGGGTTAAGCTGACTTCTAAGCAGACCTGCATATGTCAGATGCTTTCCTGTCACCATTCGCTCCTTCATATCCTAGATTTCTGGCGATCTATATGGAAGCAAAACCATGCCTTCTGATTTATATCTGGATCTCTAGGAATGGAATCAGGAGCAGTGGGGCATGTTTCTTGTCACCATTCTTGTTTCTTTGTTTTAATTGGGATACATTGACAACAGCCATGCCAAGTTTCCCCTTCCAGCCCAAGTGATAGGCAGAATTGTAAATATGGATTTTTCCCTGCACCAGTCCTCAAAAGATGTGTCCACAGAGTGGACAACAACTCAAACTTGCTTTCCCGGCAGGGATAGGAGAGGAAAGGAAGTAGGAGAATCCACCTATTGGGGCTGCATTAACCTCGGTCCAGACAGAACACCTGGCCATCACTGGTGCCAAAAGGGTTGAAATCCAAGATGGAACTTCATTTTCAGGTGGCTTATGCACGGGAGACAAACAGCTGATAGCCCAAGGTGGAAAAGCCTCAGAGGTTGTGTCTGACTCCAGGCACATCGTGCTAGTGAACTTTAACTTTTTTAATATCTCTATTTTTATGATAAACCACTGATAGACCTCAGTAATCATCAATATAATCACTCTAGTGGACTCATGTTCATAAAGGAGAGATGGCTCTTGGCTGCACTGGTTAATAGATTTCTTAATAAATATTGTTGGACACCAACCATGAAAGAAAACTTGCTTTATTTTTAAACTCCTGTTTAATGTTTAAACTCCTTTTACCGTTATTCAAGAATCCAAGGGAACTCAGGGGAAATCCCATTGGTGGTGGACACAACCACGGGTTCAGCTGCTTTCACCCAAATGACAAAAGCAGCTTCGTACTGCTGTGCCGTAAGCCCTGGCCTTTTCGTACTCGGGCGCAATGTCACGACACACATACCAAAGAGATGGCACTTGCATGGTGACAAGACAGGGCTACCTTTGTCATCCCCTCCCCCTCTGCAAACTCTGATCTTCTTTGGTTCTCTGTGCAAAAGGAATGATGATGCTGTAAATGTCCAACCTGACTCTACTGTGGAATCAGTCCTGGGATAACTCTGTCTTCAGGCCTGACAACAAGGATGGTGGAAAAACTTCCTTTGTTTTCTTTTTGACAGATGTGATAAGAATAGCTGTTCTGGGTGTCCTATGGGTAGAAAGGTAGAATATAAATCAAAACGGTAATTGATAAATAAGAGCTAACCAAGATCTGCAGTTTTCTTCAGAAACAGAACAGAAGGTTGTTGTTTGTTGTTGTTTTTAAAAAACATTGTGAAAAAAACTAAGCAAGAATGAATCACCCTGCACAAGGGGTTAATGTTTTTAGCACCTAAAACTATACATTCAAGATTTTGAATTGATATCTGGATTATAGTTTCTCTCTCTCTCTCTCTCTCTCTCTCTGGCAAGCATGCATAACCTGGTCTTCCCTGCGCTGGAACATCTATACCTACTTTAGTTGACAAGTTCAGCGTGTCAAGTCAGAATCATATAAGCAAATGTTAACCCTTTGGCCCCCTCTAGTGGCCATCTACAGTATTGCAGCTCAGCTTTGCTAGACTAGTACAGGTGGGTAAGATTTCCACCAAATTCATTTCCTCTTTTATAAAATCAAGATGTATTTGTTTCATAAATGTGATTTGAAAGAAGTTCAAGTGGGAGAAAGCCAAACTGCCAGATTCAATTTATTTAACAATCTATTTTGGCTTGTGCTTAAAAAGTTGGAAAGTTTGAGAGGCATTATCATGTTAGAGATGTTTTGCAACCATGAGATCCACGGCCCTTTTTTCCTCACCACACAGTTCTGGTGGCCTTTGCAGTGCGCATTTATATGTCCATAAGTCAATGCACATTGTGATCTATGTGTGTTCATATTTTATGGCTGTCGTGGAGGAAGAAGAATGGAGCACAATACTGAGAAAGAAAGCTGGCAATTTATTACTGTAAAGAAATGATTGTTGGATTCCAAATTGCAGGGAAAGTGGAATATTGTTATAGTAAAAAGTTAAGTTTCTACAGAAAATTGAATTCCCACTACAAATAGCATGGTTGAATTTTATGGGCTTTGTGTTTAATGGTTGTTGTTTTGACTACTCCTAGAAAAGCCTGCCCTTTTCCAGCAATTGGTCATGTAGAGTGGTAAGAAGGGTTTTCCCAATGAAGCAATTAACTCCAACAAGATTACAGGGGATACTTTTGATTAATGCCATTTTTCTTGTTGTTGTTATTATTTGTCTTTTGGGTGGATGGCATTGGACATAGTATACTATTAAGCCTTGCCTTGATTCAGTCAAGGACAGAGTAGGAAGTCCTTGCCTTGATTCGATTAGGAAAGAAAAACGGTGTTAGTGGAAGAGTTTTTGCCTTGATTCAATCAAGGATGGAAGGATACCAGTGGAATGTCTTTGCTGCTGGTCTTGACTCTCTGGTCTGGTTAGTCAATGAATGAAGTTGGAGGAAGAAGGAAGAGGCATGGTTCATGCTTGTATGACTTTTGGATAGGGAGGAATTCTTTATTGGCCTTTACAGGGCAGAACAGTCATCAGGTAGACAGTAGTCCCAGTGATAAAAAAATAAGCAACAATATTTTTTTAAAGGGTGTTGGGACATG